CATTAAATACCAGGAATATCCTTTTTAAAATTAGGGGTATTACATATCACATTTCCCAAGGATCAGTCTGAACCACTGGTGCTGGTATAGGTGCCTGCTGAACCTGTGGCTGATTCTAAAGTGCAACTGTTACACCTGCTTCTATAGCCCGAGCAATGAGGTCATTTAGATGAGGAGGATACTCTGGATCCCTGTCTTAATCCCGAGGCTCCTGAGTCTGCTGAACTGCCTCCTATTCTACATGCAACTGACCACCATTATACTGAAACCCAGGCGATTGCTACTCTTCCTCCATTTGCTGACGCTGTAAGAGATCTTGCTGCCTACGTGCCGCTTCCTTTCGATGCCTGTTTCTCTGATTGTTCCGTTTGGTTCTAGTATTAACCATTCTGTTAATATAGAAAGACGGACATCAGTATGATTTTAAACGAATCGTAAAGGAATACAATGAATCCTAAACTTAAGTTCTAAACAAGAGAATACGTTACGCGGAAGTCTTATTACGAAATAACCCTAGAGACACTTGAACCTGGAGTGCTCTAATACCAACTGTGATATCCCTCGATTCTAGAGTCACGGGTGATCAAGTCCGAGTACAGATCCGAGGGATACCAAATAATTAAGTATATAAACAAGCATTGAGAACAAAAGAAATAAAGAATAAAGAATAATTAAGCTGAAAGAAATCTAAATAATAATCCTTAAAATTTTAATTAAATAATTCAATATTTCCAAAACCTCCAATATTATTACAATTCGGGAATCTATCTAGTGGACCCCTAATAATAACCCAACTGGAAAAAAAAAAAAATGAACTGAAAGAAGATCCAAAACTAAAACACAAAGAAAAATAGTCCTACGTAGTCAGAAGAGGAAGTGACTGTCTCTGCTAGGCACAAACAAGCTCTAAGACTGGAACTGTCGAACACCTAAAAAATAATAGTGGGTCAGGCCAGGCCCACGAACAAGTTCTACTCTACTATAATCCAAATAGAGACCCAATACACATATACATCCTAGACAACTCAACAATATCTAATTAGTTCATATGTATATATACACACTATAGAATGCTCACTGGACTATAGGTCTGTCTCAACCTGAATAAAAGGCAATATACAAATCGCATATAAAGTGGGTACGAATACCTAGACCTACCAGGGCACCCAGATGTCTACTATATCCAGTTATACATATCTAGACAATATAAGCACCCTAACCATGATCCTGAGACTCAAACTCATATTATGATACCATAATTATATATATATAAAGTCCGTTTAAGCATAAGGTAAAATGTCATCCATCTGATACAGTGGTTTGACATAAATAAGGAGGACTTAACTTCTTTGGTTAATCCATTCCCTTATAAATCCAAGTAGGTAGGACTTAACTTTTATTAGTTAATCCATCCCTAAGATGCCACCATCCCATACTGGTGCATCACATCCATACAGTCTAATAATTGATGAAATAAATAATAAATTAAAATATCAATTAATCCACAATAAGCATAATAAAAATCTATAAAATAACATGATCATATTATATCACTGATACATGATTAAAAATTGTATAATCATGCATAGAAAATTACTAGAGTAAAAGTAAGCAATTTAAATCATCCATATCCAACAACAGCATACAAATTTGTTTAAAATTTCATATTGTTCAAATTCTTAGCATTATAATGTTTATTATGCACTTTGGGATTTTAACCTGACCTTAGAATTCATTTAAATTCCCCATGAAAGTTCCTAATTAAATCTAAAACCTCAAAACTGAAACACAGTGGCCAAAAACCCGTCAAAAAACAACATTCAGGAAGGGAGCCGCCTCCTTCATAGATGGAGCCGGCTCCCTCCTAAGGGAGCCGCCTCCATAAGCCAAACAGAGTCGGCTCCCTACTAAGGGAGCCGCCTTTTTTCAATGGGAGCCACCTCTCTCCAAGAGGGAGTCGGCTCTCTCCCTGTTACCATTCGTTTTTCTCATATCCAGCGACTTTTGATCATTCCGTTCATTTCTGTGAAGGTCCCTAATGGTCAAAACTAAGTCCCAGATTATCCCAGAAAATTATCCAAATCCATTATGCATTATTAACACCAATTGAAATAAGTATTTATGCAAGAAAAATTCAAGATCAAGCAATTATAATTTCATTAACATACATTCTGTTTTAATCTAACTCCACATGCATACACGATCAATTTAAGATCTAATTACTCCTGAAATTGTTTTATGCATGTAAAAAATACGAAGCCTAAGGGAGAGAGTTAGAAGAAGAACTTGCCTTACGTTTCAGTTTGAAACCTTAAACCTTCTTCTCTGTTGATTCTGGTGACCTTGGTTGCCTTCACAGACCCTATGTTGCTCCTGGTTCAACCCACGAGCAAGCTTCAATAACCCCTCCTTGGTTCAACCCTTCTCTCTCTCTCAATTTCTCTGTAACTCTCTGTATCTTTGCCTCCACTATTACGTGAATAAGTTTTCTCAAAAACCCTAAGGCAGGTAGTACTATGTTTATAAATAGGCATATACAAAACCAACCCTAATCCTAATTGCAATCCAAGTCTAACAACGAGGGAATGAAAATAAAGTACAATAAAAATGAAAATAATACATAATAATGTATATATAATATACTATACGTGACTGCATAAAAATATAATTTACACTTATATATATATACATCTTACCATCCTAGCATAATAATAATTACTCATTATTAAATAAATTCCTATATATATATATATATATATATATATATATATATATATATATATATATATATACATCCCTCCATGGGTCAATATTCGTACCCATTAGAAATCCTATCCCATTGGTCTATGCGACCCATGAGTGTGGTCCATTACTACTATCCATAGCCCTACTCTTTTAAATAAAAATAGAATAGTTAAATCCTAACAATTAAGCTACACATAATACATATAAGCAGAGACAAATAATTCAATTAAAACATCAAATTACATTTAACCACTTAATTAAATTAAATACATAAACAAATCATCAATTAATCAATTAAATAAATTAAAAATGCAAATAAAAGAAATAAATAAATACCGAGACTATCCTTTTAAAATTAGGGATATTACACGCCGCCTCGGAGAATTTTCCAAACCAAGTCCTTGGAAATTGTTTCAATCCGTACAAGGCTTTCTTAAGGTGATATAAAGCATAACGAGACTCCCCCTGAGCAACAAATCTAGGTGGTTGCTCCATATAAACCTCTTCATGTAAGTCACCATGGAAAAAGACATTTTTCGCATCGAATTGAAACAATGGCCAATTACAAATGGGGGTAATGGAAATAAGGATTCGGATAGAAGAAATCATCGCAACATGGGAAAAAGTCTCATTATAATCAATGCCATAGGTTTGGGTGTATCCCTTTGTAACAAGGCGAGCCTTCAAACGCTTAACAGACCCATCATGAAGATATTTGATAGTGTATACCCATTTACAACCAACCGGTTTGGAACCGGGAGGTAAGGGAACAAGGTCCCATGTCCCATTATGATTAAGAGCATCCATTTCATCTATCATGGTTTTGCGCCAATCTGTATTAGACATAGTATCTTGCACAGTCTTCGGAATAATAGTTGCAAATAATGTGGATAAAAAAACAAGAAAAGGAGGGAGATGCATTGCTATAAGAAACAAAGTTAGAAATGGGATGTGCAGTGACACAAGAACGAATACCTTTGCGCAACACAATAGGAAGATCATCAACAGTAGTAGGAACCTCAATAGAAGTAGACAATTGGGGGGGGGGGGGGGGGGGTGTTTCAACTTGTGGTCGTCGAAACTACCAAGTGGAATGGGCCACGACCTTCCTTCCTACTACAAGTAACCGCCTCCAACTGCAGGTAACTACTTTCCTCTTTGGCTGACACGTGTCCCATTCAACAATAACTTTCCAACTGTAGAACATTGCTTCCTTCTCTGCTTGCCACGTGTCCCCTTGGAAAGTCACACGTCCTTCCAATTGCAAGTAATTGCTTCCCTTTTTGGCTGACACATGTTCCATTCAGCAACAACTTTCCAACTATAGAAAACTATTTCTTTCTCTACCTGCCACATGTCCACTTGGAAAGTCACACGTCCTTCCAACTGCAGGTAACTGATTCTGTCCTTCCAACTGCAGATAACTGATTCCCTCTTTGGCTAACATGTGTCTTTATGCAGTTACTTGTACCAAATGGATACCTTTGATGAAACCACGTGTCACTTTATGATTGCACCTTTTCTGCATATCACTCTTCCAATTGAAAATGTTCACCCTTCCAATTAGAAACGCTCACCCTTCTATTGGAATCGGTCATGACAACCTTCCAACTGGAAAATAGTTATGGTATAAACACTCTTCTACCCATTTTACTGACACTCTCGCGAGATTGCCCTTACGAGTTACACACCTTTCCACTCAAACCTTTCAATAATAACATACATGTCTATGTATAAAACCCAAATCTACTCCTTGTTCAAGGATTATGATTCCACGATAAAATACGACTATAGCAAACACGTAGTATTATTATTGATATTATTATTATTATTATTGATTAAATTGATTCTGTACTCATGTTCTTGACTTTCATTGATCCTTGGTATCGAAGATAGAAATTTCAAACTTCACAAATCAGCCACAGACTTAGCATAGGCCCAGTGGGGGCGGATCCCCGAATTACTATCTATCTATTTTGTTAAATTTAAAAAAAAAAAATACCCCACTCAATTTTTTAAAAAATATTTCATTATATAGTCTTGGCCCACTGATTTTTTTTTTAGATCCAAAAGTAATCTACACTTTCTCTCTATAATTAGGTTCTTTTGAGCTTTGACTATTATTTTATCTCTTAAAAAAAAGAAAAACATATCTTTAACATAAAAAAATATTGATTGATTTTTGGGACAGGGCCAAAGCCCAAGTTACAAAAGCAAGACAGAGGGCAAAGCCCACAAACTAAGAGCCCATCGACCAAGAACGATAACAATCGAAAAGGAACTACTAACGACTAGATTAGGGAAACTCAGTAAAACCCTGAATTTGAAAATTAGGGATTTCGAAACACAGTTTGGGGGAGGTTTCAATCTGCAGCAATCCGACGACCTTTTCTACAGATCGACTGCTCACCATCGAAGGAGGGGAGCGATTGAAGTTGGAGAAACTATGCGAGAAATTAATTGATGAATATGAATCAGGTAATTACAAATTGTTAGCTATTTACTTATTAGCAAGTCTATAACTATGCAATCTTTACCATATTTTTTTCTATTGTAGTCATGACTGAGGCTTGAGGAATTTTTTAGTTCAACTTTGGATCTTAAAATGTCAGTGTGTGTGTGTTTTGAGTGATTGAAGAAATGACTGTCCCGAGAAGAATAGCCGAGTGGATCAGGATGAGGCAGAACGCAAGACGTGTCAGATTAACATCCATCTTACCTTGAGAAGATTTGATCAATAAAGTAATTGTATCCGATAATTGAGATTGATTGATAATTAATTGAGATTCAAGTCAACATTTTGAAAGCTAAACTAAGTTGACAAAGACAATTCTAGATATTCAAATAGAAGCATCAAAGTTTAGTTGGCTTTTGATTATTGATTAACATGGGTCCTTTGTAGAGTCATGTTTATTAGAGTTGTCATGGGTCCTTTGTAGAGTCATGTTTATTAGAGTTGTAAGTTTTAACTGAGTATGCATGTTTACAAAATTCATGAAAAATATTGAAATAAAATGATTTATAAATTCAACGTTCTTAATAAGCTAGTCATGTTTTCATAGACATGTTGATGAGTCTAAAGATTCAATACATGAGTCGTTTATATTTGATTTATTTATTAAACAAGTTTAGAAAAACTAGCTGTAAACTTGAGCTTGTAAACATGGGAATTTCACATCAGCTGAACTATTTGTATGACCGTAATTTCCTAGTTTGATTCAAGATGAATCAAATCAATAACATTGTTGTGAATACAAATGAAATGATATGTTGACCTGAGCGTCCTATATGTATGAATTTCAAATGAATGGTTCAAAGAGAGATTTAAAATCTGCCGGTACTGATTCTGTTAGCACGACAATTCTAAGAAAATATATATATTTAATGCCTGCAATTTAATACTCTCATTGACTTATGGGTTCAATTTTAATAGTCAAATCTTTTTCGTTTCAAACCAATTGATTTATTCAATACAACATGTAACGACAGATAGGTAATCACCTTGTATGTGTATGTAATGGCAGAAAGAGATATATACCTTCCCCATTGAAGGGTCTCCTTAAAGAATATTGTTGAGAAGATGGCAGTCAAAAAAAGTGCTGTTGGACTGAACATTGCTGTGAATACAGGACCTTTTTTCTCCACAGCCCAAACTTGCAAACAGTAAGTAATCCCTATAACTATTACACCCTGCATTTTTCATTAATTTAACTGTTAAGTTAGAGAAAGCATCTGCAGTGAGTTATGCTCTATATTGTCTTCTTCCTGTAACGAAAGGAGGTATGCATATTATTGAATAAGAGGCACTATTGGTCTTACTATGTGCAATATAATGCAATATATCTTATAACACTATTGATACAATCCTCATCACAAGATTAACAGGACAGAGAAATACAACAAAGTGGATCAAATTGAAAATTTAAAGTGGAAAAAAACAAATACAAGAACATAAGAACTAAAAAGATGCAAAAATGCTCAGATTCCGATATCAAACAGTTGTCCAATTGTAAGCGTGTGGTATGGATGTCGCGGAGTTGGCCTTGGTTTGGATAGTTCTGTGGAGACTTTCCCCATTGTTGGCCGAGATTGCGGACTTACATGCAAGCATGCAAAAGCTAGCTTGGTAATGAAGAGTAATTCCACAGTCACTTGTTCTGTTGGAGGTGAAAGACATTGATCCAACACATCATTCAACAGTGTACCTCGGACAAGCAGTGATGGTGATGGTGATAGAGAGGAGATAAGCTCGCCAGGATGCTTTCCCATGATCGCTTCCAGTGTCAGCACTCCAAAGCTATAAACATCGCACTTCCCATCCACTTCCATTGTGTAAGCAAACTCTGGGAAGCAATGGAAATGGACAAGAAAAGTAAAGAGAAATCTGCCAATGCAATTTTTTTTTTTTTTCCCTAACAATCATTATTTAAACTCCATAACTATAGAAAATAGAAAGTGAGGATGCAGTGAAAATTGAGGATAAAGAGGTAAAAAAAAAAAATTGAACATTTCCATTATTTAGGCTCAGTTATCTTTTATGAATGAGAAATTGGAGATGATGTTAAGGCGGGATGGGTTAAAAATTGGACTGTATCTCATGTATCGTGTAATCGGTGTATCCTGTTAAGATTGAATGAGAAGTTTTAATTATAGAACAACCATTAGACCTCAATCGTTTAAAATAATAATAATAATAAATTAAAATACCTGGAGCAGCATACCCAAAGGTCCCCGCGAATGAAGTTCAATTGGAAGAGTTAAGATTTAGAAGCCTAGCAGTGCCAAAGTCAGAGATATGAGCAACATATTCAGAATCTAGCAATACATTCTTGCTTGATATGTACCGATGAACTATAGGAGGCGAACAATGATGATGCATATAACACAAAGCATCTGCCACATCCTTAACCACATTCACTCTCGTAATCCATCCACACTCCTCCAAGGTTTGTTCTTCAGTACTGCTCAGGATCTTTTGCAAACTCCCCCCTTCAAAGAACTCGAATACCAAAAACAAGTTTCGTGGGTGTGAACAAAAACCATAAAGCTTCACAATATTTCGATGGCGTATTTCTCTTAATGTTCGGATTTCACTTGTAAAACTATTCTGATCATTAGCCCGTCCACCATCTTCCGAGGCATGAAATTTCTTTACAGCAACAAGTTGACCACTCGACAATTGAGCTTTATAAACAATTGTTGATCCTCCTACCCCAATGCAATGATCAGAGCTAAAGTCCTGTGTCGCTTCAATGATGTTCTCATACACCATTTTTCCATTGTAGCTCCATATTGCAAACAAATTCTCACTGTTTGCTCTTCTTGGCTCATTTTCGACACTTCACACTTTGGGTAAACAAGATAGAAAATCCCAACAACCATAAATGAAAGAAGCAAAATGCCTGAAAGAGGAACAATAATAAAAATCACAAGTTTGTCATCGTTTTCCGCCTTGTTAGCTTCATTGTTCATTGTGGGGGCGCATGCGTTCATACCAGTGACATTGCCGCACAAGCCTTTATTATTTTTGAATGCATTAAACGTAGCCTCTTGAAAGGATTTATTTTTCAGAATAGGACCCTCCAACTGATTGTATGATACATTCACAGAAGTCAAAATTAACATATCTTCAAAAGTGATTGGAATGGAACCAGAGAGCTTTTTGTGGGAGAGATTCAATGTTTCTAACTTTCGCAATTTTCCAAGTTGGTGTGGTATTTTCCATTTTAGCATATTACGGCTGACATCAAGATTTTGAAGAGAGTCTAAATTGCCAATGCGAAAAGGAATACCTTCAGTAAGAATATTTTCTGCTCAAATTCAAGTATAATAGTTTCATGCACTCCCCTAATCATTCAGGAATTGAGCCTCTTAGATTATTTGCTGCCAAATTAAGACGTGCCAAGTCTGATAGCTCACCAATTTCCAAAGGAATATCACCGGAAAGTCTGTTGTTCCTTAAATCAAGGTCTATCAATGAGGTTAACCTTCCTAAACTCTTTGGAATTTCCCCGATGAGATGGTTTGAATAGATGACAAGTATACGCAACTGAGTCACATTTCCCAATTCAGGTGGTATCTCACCAGAAATATTGTTGTTGGACACTCTTAGGCTTGTTAGATTGTGACACTGGCCCCATTTACCAGTAAACTCACCGAACATTTTATTATCTCTCAAGTCGATATAATCCAAGTTTGGGTATATGCCAAAATCTTTTGATGTATTTCTGGACAGTTGGTTTCTTTCAAGCCTAACTCTATATAAGCTAGTGCAGCTTTTCAAGCTCTCAGGGATTGGACCTGTGAGATTATTGTTTGCTGCAGTGAGATGTGTAAGTAATCCACCACGGCATATGTTATGTGGTAAATAACCTGTAAGCATGTTCTCACCTAAATGCAACCTTTTCAAATGGGTAAGATTACTCAACTCTATAGGTATAGAGCTAGTGAATTTATTCATGAACATGGTTAGATACTCGAGAAATTTTAGCCTTCCAAATTCTCGTGGGATGGAGCCAGATAATTGATTTTCGGAACTAGTCATGCCAAAGAGCTTGGTGAAGTTCCCAATAGTGGATGGAATGGATCTGGAGAGTTTGTTTTTGTGAAGGTACAGGGTGGTTAAGTTGCCTAAATTCCCTATAGTAGTAGGAATTGAACCTACTATATTGTTTGTTGACAATCCTAAATTTATAAGAGACCTGAAAGTTTGTTGTCATCAAGGTATAGAACTCTCAAGTTACTCAAGTTCCACATTGTAGCAGGGATTGGACCTTTGAGATTGTTCGCCATGAGTGATAACTCATTGAGGGACCTTAGTTTCCCTATCTCAGTTGGAATTGCTCCAGAGAGATAATTTATAGACAAGTTAAGCTTGGTGAGCTTGGAAAGGCTGCTGATGTGCTTGGGGATAGTCCCATACAGCGAATTGTTATGAATAAATAAGTTGAGGAGATGAGGGAAGCATGAGAAGTTGAGATTGTGAAGTGTACCTCTTAAACCAACATTTTCAAGGCTTATTTGGGTGACACTTCCATGCTTGTTGCAACCAATCCCAACTCATTTGCGGGGGCTGTTTCGAGCCCAAGATGGCAGAAGAGATTGGCTTTCATTGTCAAGTCTGGCTTTCCATGTTAAAAAAACCTCTCTTTCCTTTCCTTCTGTCTTTTCATTTGGAGCTGCAGAAGAAGCACCAGCAGTGAAATGGGAAAAAGAAAGCAACACAAGGATGGTGATGGAAATGAACAAAAGTTTGAAATTAGAAAGAAATTCATCATGGAATGGTTTATCTACTAGGTATTTCATTGTGGATTTGCTACTATGAAATATAAGAGGGCAATGTTTGGATGGATGATGAAGGGCTCTAGTACAGCATGGAGAGCTATTTTTAGAATAGTAGATTCATGATACATTTATGGAAATGTTTCAAAGAAGGATACCACTGCTTCGCCTCTTAATTTGCTGGACCGGCTCAAATTCTATTCATTAAATGTGGGAGGCATCCCACTTGTTCTAACTAGCTCAAATTCAACGCATTAAATGTGCTCAAATCCAATGCATTAAATATGGTAATTAAAGTGTTGTGTGTGCAGGTGTGCGTGCAATGAATGAAGAAAAGAATTAGAGAAGAAATGCACTGAGTTGTAAAAGATTACAGTGCAGAACCGAAATGTTTTTGGTGAAGGCAGTGAACTCTCTTATGTGTGTGTATGTGTGTGTGTGTTGACTGATTGAAGATGTAGTATGCAGAGAAGAATAGAAGAGAGGAGACAGAGAGTTGAGGAAAAAGAGAGTGAAGTTAGTGAAGGTCAAGTGTATTTCTTTTATAAAAGTGTGTTTTTTTTTCCTTTCAAGTGAGTGCGAAATACCTCTTGGTAATCTTTTGAGATTTGTAATCCTCTTATTTGAAATAAAGGTTAGTCGTTCTTCGTTGGTGGACGTAGACAATTTGCCGAATGTTTTTTTGTGTTATTTCTATCTAGAGATCTAATTACTAACACAATTGGAATTTAGATCTTGGCATCTCGGTGCTTTTTAACGGTAGGCGTCTTGCCAGGAATTTGGGACAATATCCACCTTGGGGCTGCCCCACTGCTGGGAATTCAACTTGTTGATATCGAAACTGTTTTGAAAACATGAGGGAGGAGAATGCCTATTTATGTAATGGTAATTATAATACCAGAACTACCCCATCAAGAAACCACATGATTTCAGTTTCAGTCTTTCAGACATAACTAGAAACTGTTTGGGACATATCAGTAACTATTTGGGAATTGGGACATAACAATAATATCAGTAAGTCAGAAGGTTTTAATACCAAAACATATACCCTTCTCATGTTGTTCCGCATACAAACAAATTGCAGAGAGCCAAGAAAGCAAAGTTAGCAAACCACCAACAATTTAATTGTACTTGCAGGTAACATTATTTTTGCAGATTTGTTTATCTTCTCTCTCTAGTCTCAGACTTCTTCTCTCTAGATTAAAAAGATAGTCAGCTGAATAATGGAAAATAGTAATTTCACTCTCCAATGAGTTTGGAAGATCCCTTGTGTAGGGAGAAATTATATATTGGCTTCTAGATCCAATTTCAATAGTCAATCTTTTATTCAAACCGAAATGCTATCATGCTATCGTTTCAAATCTATTGATTTACCAAATGCAATATGATGAGTTTCTCCTTGTGTGTGTGTGTAATGGCAGACGAGGATATATACCTTCCCCATTGAAGGGTCTCCTTAATGGATATTGCTGAGAAGATAGCAGTCAAAATAAGTGCTACTGGACTGAACATTGCTGTGAATACATGGCCGCCTTTCTTCTCTACAGCCCAAGCTTGGAACCAGTAAGTAATCCCCTGCGACTATTACACCCTGCCATTTTCATTACTTTTAACTGTGAATTTAGAGAGAGAAAGCATCTGCACTGAGTTATTTCCTATATTGTCTTCTTCCCGTTATGATAGGAGTTATGTATATTATCGAATAAGAAACACTTAAATTGGTCCTACTATGTGCAATATAATGCATTAAATCTTGTAAAGGAAAAAAATTGAACATTGAAAATTTAATGTGGAAAAAAAATATACAAGATCATAAAAACTGAAAAGATGGAAAAGTGCTCAGGAAGCTGAAGAACCAATATCAAACAGTAGTTCGATTGTAATCATGTGGAATGGATTTCGCAGAGTTGGCCTTTGTTTTGATAGTTCTGTGGATACTTTTATCATTGTTGGCCGAGATTGTGGATTGACATGCAAGCATGCAAAAGCTAGCTTGGTGATAAAGACTAATTCCACGGCCACTTGTTCCGTTGGAGGTGAAAGATGTTGATCCAACATATCCTTTAAAAGTGTAGCTCGTTCAAGCAACGTCGGTAATGGTGATAGAGAGGAGATGAGCTCACCTGGATGTTTTCCCATGATCACTTCCAGTGTCAGCACTCCAAAGCTATAAACGTCACATTTCTCATTCACTTCCATTGTGTAAGCAAGCTCTGCAAAGCAATGAAAAAGGGACAAGAAAAGTAAAGAGAAGTTTGCCAATGCTATAGCTTCTAATTACTATCACTATTTAAACTCCATAACAATAGAATACAAAAAAGTGAGTATGTAGCGTGGATTCAAGATCAAGAGGTATGAAAAAATTAATATTTTCGTTATTTAGGCTTTATTATCTTTTATGAAGGATAAATTGGAGATGATGTTAATTATATATCAAGGCAAGATGAGTTAAATGGAGAAGTACATCTAGCATATTGTGTAATCATTGTATCCTGTTGAGAAGTTTTATAGAACTATTAGATCAGTCATTCATTCAATCAACTATTTGAAATGAATCGTTCCAAAATAAATAAATAAATAAAAATACCCTGAGCAGCGTACCCAAAGGTTCCCGCGATTGAAGTCCAATTGGAAGAGTTAGGATTTAGAAGCCTAGCAATGCCAAAGTCAGATGTGAACCACATAATCAGAATCTAACAAAACATTCTTGCTTGATATGTCCTGATGAACTATAGGAGGCGAACAATCGTGATGCATATAACACAAAGCATATGCCACATCCTTAACCACATTCACTCTCTTAATCCATCCCCACTCCGAGGCTTGTTCAGCACAACTCAGGATCTTCTGCAAACTTCCCCCTTCCAATAACTCATAAACCAAAAACGAGTGTCGTGGGTGTGAACAAAAACCATAGAGTTTCACAATATTTCGATGGTGTATTTCTGTTAATGTTCGGATTTCACTTGTAAAACCATTTTGATTATAGGCCTGTCCACCATCATTTTCTAGGGTATGAAGTTTCTTCACAGCAACAACTTGACCACTCGGCAACTGAGCTTTATAAACACTTGCTGACCCTCCTACCCCAATGCAATGATCAGAGTTGAAGTCCTCTGTAGCTTCAATGATCTTCTCATACACCATTTTTCCATCATAGCTCCACATTTCAAACAAATTTTCATTGTTTACTCTTCTTGGCTCATAATCTGCTGCCCACTTTAGGGTAAAGAAGATAGAAAATCCCAAAAACCATAAATGAAAGAAGCAAAATGCCTGAAAGAGGAACCATAATCAAAATCACAAGTTTGTTGCCATTCTCTCCCTTATGAGCTTCATTGCTTGTTGTGGTGGCGCAAGCCTTCAAACCAGTGGCATTGCCGCACAAACCTTTATTATTTGTGAATGCATTAAACGGAGCCTCTTGAAAGGCTTTATTTTTCGGAACAGGACCCTACAACTGATTGTATGATACATCAACAGAAGTCAAACTTAACATACCTTCAAAAGTGAATGGAATGGAACCAAAAAGCTTATTGTGGGAGAGATTCAATGCTTCTAACTTCTCCAATTGTCCAAGCTGGTGTGGTATTTCCCATTTTAGTAAATTATGGCTGACATCAAGATCTTCAAGAGAGTGCAAATTGCCTATGCTAGAAGGAATACCTTCAGCAAGAATATTTCTGCTCAAATTCAAATACAATAGTTTCACGCACTCTCCTAATCGTTCAGGAATTGAGCCACTTAGATTATTTGCTGCCATGTTAAGACGTCTAAAGTCTGATAGCTCACCAATTTCCAAAGGAATGTTGCCTGAAAGTTTGTTGTAGCTTAAATCAAGGTTTATGAATGAGGTTAACCTTCCTAAACGCTTTGGAATTTCCCCGATGAGGTGGTTTGAAGAGATGTCAAGTATGCGTAGTTGAGTTGCATTTCCCAATTCTGGTGGTATCTCATCGGAAATATTGTTGTTGGACACTCTTAGGCTTGTTAGATTGTGGCAATATGCCCCATTTACCAGAAAGCTCACCATACATTTTATTATCACTCAAATCCATATAAACCAAGTTTGGATATATGCCAAAAACTTTTGATATATTTCCAGATAGTTGGTTCCTATTAAGCCTAACTCTGTATAAGCTAGTGCAACTTTTCAAGCTCTCAGGGATTGGACCTGTGAGATTGTTGTTATTTGCACTGAAATTTGTAAGTGATCCACCAAAGCATATGTTATGTGGTAAATGACCAGTAAGCTCGTTGTCAAATAAATACAACTCTTTCAAATGGGCAAGGTTATTCAACTCTGTAGGTATAGAGCCAGTGAATTTATTCGCGAACAAGACTAGATGTTCGATGAATTTCAACTTTCCTACTTCTCGTGGGATAGAACCAGATAATCGATTTTCATACAAACTCAAGTGGAAGAGCTTGGTCAAGTTACCAATAGAGGATGGAATGGATCTGGAGAGTTTGTTTTCGTCAAGGTGCAATGTAGTTAAGTTGCCTAAATTCCCTATCGAATTGGATATTGAACCCGTGAAATTATTGTTTGATAATCCAAGATCAGTGAGAGATCTGAGTGTCCAGATTTCTTGAGGGATTGGTCCAGAGTTTATTTCTAGGAAGGTATAAAGTGGCTAAGTTGCCCAAATTTCCTATAGTAGTAGGAATTGAACCTACTATGTTGTTTCTTGACAATGCCAAATCTATAAGAGATTTTAGCTTCCCAATTACTTGAGAGATGGATCCAGAAAGTCTGTTTCCATTGAGGTATAGAACGCTCAAGTTGCTCAAGTTCCACATCGTAGCAGGGATTGGACCCGTGATATTGTTTCTCGCGAGTGATATTCCATTGAGAGACCTCAGTTTCCATATCTCAGATGGAATTGCTCCAGAGAGAGAATTTCGAGCCAAGTCAAGCTCGGTGAGCTTGGAAAGGCTACTGATGTGCTTGGGGATCGTCCCATGGAGAGAATTGTTATAAAAAGAAAGGTTGAGGAGATGAGGGAAGCATGAGAAGTTGAGATTGTGAAGTGTACCTCTTAAACCAACACTTTGAAGGCTTATTTGGGTGACCCTTCCAGTTATGTTGTTGCAACCAATCCCAATCCAATTGCAGTGTCGGCTGCTGTTTGGAGCCCAAGATGAGAGAAGAGATTGTGTAGTTTGATTGCGAAGACTGGCTTTCCACTTCAAGAGAGCCTCTCTTTCCTTTTCTTTTGGAGCTGCATAAGAAGAAGAAAATAACTTTAGCTAGTCTTCAGATGTCAACTGAAATTTGATTATGTTTATCGTCTGATTGGTTTACACATTCTTAATTAGGTTAATTAGCACTCGCTAGGGATGTCAACACGGCCAGTATAACACCAGATGTTTCTATCCAAACTCTTCTCACGATGGAAAAATTAATCAAGTTAGGCAATTCAAACTTCGAATTCCAATTATCAAATCATAAAATTTTTTTTTTTTTTTCGCCTAAGAAATGGATTCTTATTCATCATCAGATTGAAGAAATTGTAATCTTGAAATGTCAATTTCGTGTTTTCAAACGCAGTGTTGATCAATTCTCTTTCTAGCTTGTTATACAATGCAAAAAATTATTAAAACCCAATGGAAAAATGATGTTATGTAAACACATTTTAGACTAATTTTAGTAAAAACCTAACATGCTCACTTCTTGGCTTTAATTGTCCTTCTGCAATTTTTGGTTTTCTTCTAGACTATACAATCGATCATGAGACCTTCTCTCTGAAACGGTTTGAACTCTATGAAAAGGCATGATTGCTTCGATACAATTTCTTCCGTAACATGGAGAAGGAGACATCAAGCTCGTTACATATGCACAAAAAGCTTGCAATGAGTTCTACTCCGTGACCAATCTATGATATTTGAGTTTGTATTTTGATGATTTTTGTGTAGGGTGGAGTCGACGGTTTGTTATGAGGGCTTGAACCCTCGCTCTTATATTTTGAAAAATGAGAAAGTATTACTAGGTTATTGCACTTAGTTATATCATAAACAAATTCAAAGTTCTCTGCTTATAAGCTTTAATAAACTCTAATCGCTCTCATCCTGCGTATTCAAAAAATACTCAAACAGCTTATTGATAAAATCAAACTTTAATCATGTTCGTGACCGAAATTGACCGATTATGATAATCTTTAATCATTTTCAAATTACACTCAACATCTTATTGAGTTTTCTCGTGATCATAACAGTCAGTGCAACAAATTGACCAAGGATGGCTTGCAATGAACGCACAAAGAGGAACAAGTCAAGTCAAATTCTTTTCAGAGGCGAAAGAAAAGAAATTTCATCACAAATTATAGCCATATAGAGCCTCTCGTAGAAACAAAACAAAATATTAGTCACGCACAATAGGAGTAAGACACAAATAAAAACAACATGCTTTTGCTAAAGATACAAAGTCACAACAAAATATCAATTGATTTTTGGGTTAGGGCTAAAGCCCAAGCTACGAAACCAAGACAAAGGCAAAGCTCACAAACTAAAAGCCCATGGCCCAACAACGATACAAACAAAAAAATCGTTATTAACCAAGATGTGTGGTTGTCACTGGCGGATTCAGACTGATCCAATATGTTGATTAACATGGTGTTACAGTAAAAGGTGCTCGATTTTAGATTTTACTGTTACTCTTATATACATAAAAATTTATATATAATCGATAAACGTGTCGCAATGAAATTTGGGCAAGCCATTCAAAAGAATATAAATATTTAAATTACATTCTCTTTATCAATTTAAATTTATAAAATAGATGGTGACTGACATTTCTCAACAACCAAATGAATTTCCAAAACGCCAACCAATCAAAGTCACTTTTGAATGTTGATGCTCTCCATCTCCTCTACTGTTTCCTCTTTGGTTTCTTGTGATTTTTCATCTTTTTCCCTTTCTCCTTCTTCTTTGTTCTTCCCCCACAAAAAGCTGTAGAGACCTCCCACCAGCAATACAGCACCACAAACACTGCCACAAAAATGAAAACCCAAAACTGACCCTTATCATCATATATGTATATTAACGCAAAAGGTTAGACTCCATCAAAATTAAATAATTAGAAAATTTTCATTTTTTTTTTTTTTTTTTTTTTGTTTTTAATGGAACTTGAACCCTTGGCGTACCACTAAGTTACAGTCATCGGTGGTAATCTAGATTTAATAATATATATTAAAACTTTTAAATTATATATATAAATTGACTTGACTATATGGATTTCAAATCACACGGTTCAAATATGTTATTTTAAATTTTTCTACCGGTAGCACAAAGATTGTAAATAAATAATATTCTATACCTATAAATTAATATTCTCATGGACTTATGGATCTAATTTTAATGGTCGATCTTTCTATTTCAAATCTATTAATTTATCCAAAAAGGATATATATATATATATATATATATATATATTTACCTTCCCCAGTGAAGGGTCTCCTGAAAGAATATTGCTGAGAAGAAGGCAGTCAAAATAAGTGCTAATGGGCTGAACATTGCTGTAAATACAGGGCCTTTCTTCTCCACAGCCCAAACTTGCAACCAGTAAGTAATTCCTGTCACTATTATACCCTGCATTTTTCATTAATTTAAGTTACTTAATTGTTAATTATAGAGAGAGAAAGCATATGCAGTTAAGTATGAAAATAGCCAAGGATGTGGATACAAATATATATATGCCATGCTTATATATATGTACCTTTATGCATCTTAGGTGTTTATATTATGATTTACTAGGTGAAAGCAAAATATTCAAACATGAACTCTTACGTTTTAATAGTAGTCTTGTAGTACTTTTTCCCCTTTCAAATTAGGTCGGACTTCAAATCTCCAAAAAAGTGGACGAGTGAGTTTCAAACAAATAAATAAAAGTTGACTTCCTACTAGCTCTTGGGGGCACACCAATTTGTGAAAACTAGTACATTTGTTTGATGTGCCCGTCTCCCATCTCTTAAGGGGAGAAGTATTGAGCACTTATATGTATGGACGTTTCTTAACTGTAAGACGTGTTTTGAAAACTGTGATCACGGTGAATGTACAAAGTGAATAAAATCTACATAGCGAAGCGGGTCGTGATAATTAGGACAAAACCATAACTATACTCTGTAATGTAACAACGAATGAAGAAACATACACAATAGAGCACAGATAAAAGATTAATGTCCCATCCAAGCTTCCATGATGACAAGTTCCTATCTACCACAACAGCCCAAATTGCTGATGATATGCAGCTGAAGAAGCATTGTAGTGTCGTAAAACGTATTTTCGCCGGATATTGCTTCACAATAGAACCCTGAAAGAACCAAAATTTATCAAAGAGATGTTGATACACACACACACACACACACACACACATAGATATATATAGAGAGAGATGGACCTGCATAATAAGCCACAAAGACCAAGCTATGTTGGCTGCAAGCATGAAAAGAGCACCTTTTATCCAATCCTCTTTGGAAATATACTTTGTTGATTCCTTTGAAACTTCCTTATGCATACTTGAATAAATTGGAGGCCCCTTGAAAAAAGTATACACCATAGCCCCCGAAAGACCTACCGCACAACCCAACACTTTCGTTATCCCATCCCATTGCTTCATGGAAACTCTCTCCATCCTGAAATGTTCAAAACCATTAACACACACAAAGATAGATATACACACAAACATATATGTGTGTGTGTGTGTGTGTGTGTTGGTTTCTTTTGATACCTTAAGGCAACAGCCATGACAAAGACCGTTGCAGGAATTGTGTTGGTCATGGCTGTGGCAAATGTTGCAGAGATGTATGTTATTGCATAATAGTAGAGATTCAAAGCCATAGTGATCCTGAAATTTCACACACATGAAGGATTGTTAATTGCAACAATTTTAATGCTATATATGAGTTCAACATACACTTTGATTGCATTATTGTAATTTTGTAAATAGAGTCCAAATTTTGAACATACCCACATAAAGAAACAAAAAAGATCTTGCAGAGCAAGTAGCATGACAGGGGAGCAGTTTTATTACTGCAAATTTAGAAGAAATTAAAAATCACCATCAGAAACAATCATATATATATATATATATATATATATATATATATATATATATATATATATATATAAGTGGGAAATCATAAAATTAGATTAAAGAAGTGTTTGGGTGATTAACCTTTCAAGGAAGAAAGCAAATGGAGCTAGGGCAAGTGCCGCGAATCCTTGTCGATAAGCGACGAACACAGAGGGTTTTGTTCCTTCATTCACTGCTGCTTTGGACAACAAAGCCATGCCTGCATACACAAACTGTATGAAGATCATTGCTATGTATGGATTATGCTTCTCCATATCCATTTTACATCTAAGTAAAGCCTTCATGTTGTGCAGTGTCTAGTATTGGCCTCCTTTGAGGGGATTTAGATTTTCAGAAACTATATATTCAGCTTATATATATACAGAAGCACTAGCAATCAATGCTTTCTGAGTTAGTGAATAATGGGCTGCCGTGTTAAAATCATGAGCATGGTTTTGTGTTTGCTTTACTACTTTTTTATTTGTATTAAGAGTGATGTTATTCACTTTGACTAGCTTAGTTTAAACTTTGAAATAGTTAGTCAAAGTGATGTGCTGTAGCAAAAAGGGTCAAGCTACATACCCCACAAGCCTCTTCAAGCATTTATATATATATATATATATATATATATATTTAGCGAAAAATCAATTCATTCGCTAGCTACTTTCGATTTTCAAATGGTTTGTACTCATAAATCACACATATATTTTAAGCTTGAGTATTTTTGCGCCTTGTGAGAATCGAATCTAGGGCATCCGAGTTTACGGTTTGGCCCAAGAGAATTCTTATCCACTGAGTCACCCGTGCAGGCTATCATTCTCTTGTTCTTGTGCATTAATCAAAATGATTTATATCATAAGGTATCTAAGATGGTAAAACAAAATTCTTGTAATCGATCTCAAGTAATTGAAATAAGAGTTATCGGCTACCTATGGAGCTCGAAACCCATTGAACTAATATTTTGGTGGTTAGAAAACATAATTTTTGATTACCCTATCTCAAAAATGGAATTCTTGTAATCGATCTCAAGTAATTGAAATAAGATTTATGGACTCCCTGTATAGCTCGAACCTCTAATTTTCCTTTTGAGTAGAAGAGACCCGTTGGACTAATATTTCGATAGTTAGAAAACGTAACTTTTGATTACCCTCCCTCAAAACAGAATTCTTGTAATCGATTTTAAGTAATTAAAATAAGAATTATCAACTCCTTATATAGCTCGAACCTGTCATTTTCTTTTTGAATAGAAGAGACCCATTGGACTAATATTTCGGTAGTTGGAAACGTAACTTTTGATTATCTGTGTCATGTAATCTTGATGAACAATACTATTCTATTTTTTTTTCTTCTCTTGGTTGTGAATTTCAACATTTCTTTGTCAAAGTGGGGTCAACTTTTTATTTTTATTAAACGATGGCGTGTAAGATTAATAACCATTTCAAGCAAATCACTTGAACACACCTCGGTGGTTTCTTCCTATGACATACGTTTTTTGTTCACATGAGCATAAATTATTGTTCTTGTTATAAATGTATGTGCTAACCATCGCAGCATTTTTAATTAATTTATATTCACTTCAAAAGCTTAAACTCTCATAAAACATATAATGATCAAGAGAAAGGATTGCAATCTCACAAAGATGAGATTACTTCAAAAACCCTTCCTGAGTTCGAACAAAAAAACTCGAAACAATATTTACTTAATAAATGGATTAAGTTCTTGAATCTCAAGAAACATAACGGTTTGTAATTATACTATTATTTAATTAATCAACTCAAATTTAATTGCCGATTGTATGATTAACTTGTTGAAAATGACATAGAAAATTGAATGGTGTAGAACTAAATTGAACTATGAATATCTGAATTATTACATTTAATGGTGTAGAATTAATTTGAAGTATGAACATGAATAATTACATTTTATATAGAGAAACATGCAATGTTTTTAAGTATGACAGCTCAGTGCCAATTTCAATTTAAATTTCAATTTCATTTCAATTTCAATTTCAGTTGTCAAGGGGTCCACCCAGAGGTTGGACAAATTCATAGTTTGTGGCTGAAAAGTCAGGTGCAGCTCCTTTCAGGTTTTGAATGCTGAGTCAATGATTTTAAACTACCTTTTTGGATTCATTAAGCGACTCATAAGATTTTACCAAGTCAACACGAAACAGAGTGAAACGCTTGTATATAGTTATTTATAGTTATTTGTCATTTCACGTGTTTACTTTTGATCCCACAGGTTATTTAGGGCTCGTTACACGTTTTGTTTTTGTATTTTTATTTTAATTTAAAACAAAATAAGTATTTTGTTGTATAATATTTTAAATAGTAATAAAAAATATATTTGGTAACTCTATTTATTACAAAAAAAAATTTAGAAGCAAAATTATAAAAACATATTTGGTAAAAAAGTATTAAATTAAGGGCAGTTTAAAAGGCATTTCAGAGTTTTTCAAATTTTTTTGAAAATTGTTCGTTGTTACAGTACCGTTGTTACCATGCGAAAACATGTAACAACACCAAATTAGTATTTCGACTTTTGAATACTATTCATGAAACGTCACTATACAAAACGAAATATTTTTTACCAAATGCATTTTTTTCATTGTTCACTGAACAAAAATGCCAAAAATAAAATATGTATCAAACAAGTCCTTGGCTCGTACGCATTTGCGGTTCCTCAATCATTATTGCTTTCTGCATGAATGTATCATGTTTTATGAAAGTGGTGTTAAAAAGATTAACCTTACCTACCTGTCAACAACCAACTTTATTGAAAATTCTCAACCAAAATACATAATATATATATATATATATATATATATTTATATAGTTTGTCCAACAAATATTAATATTTACTTAATTTCAAATTAAAATAAACATGGCTTGCAAAAAAAAAATATAATTTTGATACTAGTTTGAATGTTCTTCTAAATTACACATCGGAAGAAAAATTTATGCTTAATGTCAAAATAAACATTACTATGTTCGATTGTATGAAATTAAAATTAATATCCCGAAAAATATTTATTAGGATGCAAGTTATAAAGAGATAAGCACAATAAGCTTAGGTTTGTCCTAATACTTTAATTAAAAATAAATAAAAATAACATTGATCAAGTCAAAATTGATTGTTCACGGCTCAAATATGGCCGAACTTGAATTGAGCTCAACATAAGTCCAATCTTGGCAAAAAAAAAAAAAAAAAAAGGTTGTTTAAGCCCGTACAAAAATCATACTACATATTAGACTCTGGTTAGCTCATTCAGGTAAACTTATCAACCAGAATTTAATCTGAATCCAATTCAAATCCGGTCTAATTATTTAAATATGAATTGAATAAAAAAATCTGATAATCCTTTACCTTAACAAATTGGATATGAATTAAAAGTAATCCGACCTAATTAAAATTATAAAATTTATTTATTTATTTATTACATTACAAAATTATGTACGTTATATATATTAGTTATCTAACTTTAAATTTATATATTAATTATTTATCATTAGATTCATTTGGTTGCATAATTCTAGGATACAACATTTTAACTCTACACTACATCCAACGTTATAATTAGGCATGTCAATGAATTTGAATTTGATATGTATCCGAATCCGAGTCAATAATTAAGATATGAAATCTAATAATCTATTAGTAATCCGAATCCGATAATCCATTAACTAAACAAACCAGATAAGAATTTGTTCAATCCGAACACATGGCTGCATCCAAGCTCCATAGACACAGGATTGCATCCAAGCTCCATCTATGCTCTTAATGCTTTAACAACCAACTTCAGTTAAGTTGTGTGTAAAAAAATCCAGAGCACATTACAACATATTTTAGGAGACTTTTCAGTTCCAAACCAATATAACCATCGAGTGCAAGAGAAAATAAATAAATAAATTGGCTAAAATCACTAAATAATATTGTCACGGAACTGTAACATTGTTGATGTAGACATGAATTGGAAATTTAGAATTTTGCAACATTGAATGGGATGGGGATGGTATGGACCGTTTATTTCCTTATCAACATTTGCATACCATCTTTGAAAGGCAAAGGGTTACTTATTGTCTGCTTGACTTCCAATGGCTCTTTCCAATGGCTCTTAACAGACTTCGAATGATCATTACAATCGAAATAGACCGTCGTCAACTCACACTTTTAAGACAGTCTCAGATACAATATCTAATGACGGCGAAGATCTAGATTTATGAATGATTATTATAAACACCCATTTTTGCACATCTTGAAATTAGTCAAATTTGATTTTATCTAAAATTGCAAGAGAAAAAGAATCACTTAGCATACAGAAAATGTCCAAAGCAATATCAACATCCATAAAGTATTTCTTTCTTACCAAAATGTTCCATTTATTTCCAACTTCAATTTCAATGCGTCCAATTCCAAATGCAACATACAGATCATCTAATTCTCTAGATAAAGTAGACATATATGTATTTCAAATCTCCAAACAGAAGTCTTGAAAATATTCATTTTATTTTATTTTCTAGAGTAAAATAATATTTTAAATGGGACTTGGCGTTTGGTATAGGCATTTAACTCATTTTAAAGTAACAATATAAAAAAATTGAATATTGGGATATGTTCTCCTAACCAAGAGTAGTGTTCGGACACATAACCCATACTCATATCCAAGCAACATGTGTTCGACACAGTTACTTCATTACTTTCGAAGAATCTATGTTACATAGCTGCAAATATTATTCCATAGAAACCAAAAACTCAAAACCCGACTCCATCCTCCACATAAAACAAGAGGGAAAGAGCTCAAAAAAGAGAGATACAAACTCTACCCTTCTTCAAGCTCAAATGAAGAAGGGTAAACACAAAAACACACACAGATGTTTGGATTAAGAATCAAAGAATGTACTGCTCTATTATTCCCTACAAAAAGGATAAAGTGTACAATTACTAGTTTTCTTTTGGCATTAAATAAAAATATTTCTACCTTCAAACTACAAAAACATAGCTACCACATAGCAACAGCAGCAGCAGCTTACTATAAACAATATCCCTAGAAAATCAACACCAAGATCAAACTTCTTTTTTTTTTTCCCTTTCTCTTTTCGCTTCAGATAAGTCATAATCAGCAGAGCAGGCATCCAGAATTTTCAACCTAAACATATTTTATACCTTATAGTCTAGGGGGCTCAGGCAGCAGCTACCTGGACTGGACCATCTGATCTGAAATCACGCCCGCGCCCACGTCCACGGCCCCTGCCTCGGCCACGCCCACGCCCTGCAAAATTCCATATAGCTTTATATTAAGAATTGAGTACATTATAAAACCACACACACACTAAATAGCAGTTGAGTTTTGACAATTTTTTTTGTGGGATCCAACACCATAATACTTGCAAGTTCAGCAACTCTGCAATCCAATGACAACAAAACAACAAATAACCGCAAAGGTTATCAGTTTACAGCGTTGAGCCATTGATGATATTATATAGGCACCAAACTTTCATCCTCACACTAATAGTTCACAAACATTTAATTTTAATCAATAAACCAGACAAGCAATGCGCATCATTTGATGAAGTTCAAAGATTCAGAGTATTGTTAAACAAGGAGACAGACTAGACATTAAAACCAATTTTAAATTAATGAACTTTCGAGATACAAACAAAGGAATCAGTAGGAGTAGTATTAAATTTAGAGCATTGTTAAACAAGGAAGCAAGATAGAGGTTCAAACAACTTACAACACCCATACAACATTTTTTAAGCAGAGGGAGGGAAAAAAAAATGTGACGGTATGAGTGTCCAATAATAAAGACCAATATGTGCCAACACGCAAAGGAAGTGCATTTACATCATAAGTATGCAAGTGTATATAATTAATTACACCTCTAACTTAGAAAAGTGTGCATGTAGAAGCATTCAAACAACTTTAGAAAAGCAACAACCACCAGGATATATATATATATATATATATGTGACAATTTATAACACCCATATGACATTTTTTAAGCGGAGGGAGGAAAAATATATGTGTGTGTGTGTGTGTGTGTGTGTGTGTCTGTGTGTGTGTGTGTGTGTGTGTGACAGTATGTAGTGTCCAATAATAAAGACCAATTTGTGCCAACACGTAAAGGAAGTGCATTTACATCGTAAGTATGCAAGTGTGTATAATTAGTTACACCTCTGACTTAGAAAAGTGTGCATGTAGAAGCATTCAAACAACTATAGAAAAGTAACCACCACCAGGGGAAACATTAAAGGATAGAAACTATAAGTTTCATCATCTTTAAGTCACCACTTGTCTGTATTAAGTTTTTAACAGCTATTACTATTGACTACATACTTTTTTTTGATTAATGGTTATTTTATTTAACAAATGGCAAAATAAAATGTTGATACAGCATAAAAATATGAGCTTACCACGGCCTTGAGCAGGCATTGGCCCTGGTCCACCATAGTCATTGTAACCACTCGATTCTTGTTGCATATCACCTCCACCATAGCCTCTTCCACGCCCACGATATCCACGGCCCCTTCCGCGACCTCTACCTCTTCCACCGTAGCCACGTCCACCATCCCAGCCTCCTCCATCTCCATAGTACTCCATTACTCCATTGTTATTACCTCCTGTACACGCAATAGAAGATAGATTACAACCACTATTGCTTTACGCCAAGACAAAATAGAACATGCAAGCATAGAGCAAAATAAAAAAGCACAACAAGCAAACAAAGCCAAGGACCAAGGATAGTGAGAAATGATAGGTTGATCCCCTGACAGATACGCTTTTATGTACAAAAATGATTCATTTTTGGGTAAAGAATATTCCAGGAGATTGCTACTGAAACTGCAAACTCAGCGACAATGCATGATGTAAATGCACTTTCTGGAGATATTATTGTATGAGGATGAAAAGAAGAATACAATAATTTGAGGATGAAAAGATTGACCCATAGAATTTCCACTAAATTTTGACACGCTGCAGCCGCTTCATTGACAAAGCGTCCATCGTGATTAACAATGCTTTTAAGTGTCCAAAAATTATAGTGTACCCAACCAGGACCCATTCCCCAGTCTCTGGCTCTGCTCAAGTGTCTTTTTCATCCTTTGCTTCAGATCAAGGACAAAAGGGGGAAGTCTGAAGCAATGGACGAAAAAGACCAAAAGCCACATACTTGAGCAGAGCCAGAGAATAGGGGATGGGTTCGGAGTACACTATAACCCTCAATTCCATGACAGCATGGAAACTAAATCCTGTAACAGAGAAGTGAACCATAATATTTTGCTAGTACCCATCCAGGATTCATGCAGCCAACTTCTACATGTTTTTCTTTCTTGCGTCTTTTTTAAAATTTCTAATGATCATACTTGTTTTCTAGAACTTCCAAAAAGTTTTGGTTTATCTTAAAATCTAAAAGCGGTGTATTCAATTTTGCTTACTCCTCCAAATCAAATAACAACCTTGGACGTAGCGTCGTAGGATGTAAGTGAATCTAAGCCAGATTGCCAGATTATAACTTAAATAGTTGAATACCACTTTGCTATTGATAATATGTCTAAGGATTATGGAGTCGAATAACACTTTCCTATTTTTATTTTTTTAATATCATTGTTATCTTATTGCGTCTGTCCATCAAATATTCATGTTATTTGGAAACCATTCAAGACTCACTTTGTAGTAAGAATTCATCTATCTTCAAACCGCAAAACATATAAAAGCTAAGATAGAAGGAAAAATAAATAAAATTAAAAAAATAAAAAATGAAGGATACCATTCATCAAAGGCATCCAAAAAACAATTACTTTACAGCGCAATATTACATTACCTCTTCCTCTACCCCTTCCGCGACCACCACGTCCCCTTCCTCGCATGCCAGGAGAGCCCTCTAATTCCAGAAGAACAAACTAAAGTTTACAAAACTATTTAAAAGAGAGTATAATCAGAAACACAAATTATTATTGCTTTACCTGCTTCATTGTCATATTCATTCCATGGTTTCACTTGCTCAATTGGGATGGGTGGTTGGTACCTGCATTTTTTGACATAGCGAAAACACATTCATAAGTTACTCAAAAGGACACAATAACACATGCATTACGTTGTTTCTAATCGTGCTTCCTTAACCATAACATATAACTTAGGATATGATGCTCATAAAAATGAGCACTGTAAGAAGGAAAGAAAATACACAGTAGCTTTACTGCAGCACATCAAAGTTATCAAAATCTTTTGTAGCCACCAAAGATCTTTAATTAAGAGAGAGGGAGGGAGGAGATGTGTGTGTGTGTGTGTGGTGGTGGGTTGGGGGGGGGGGGGGGGGGGGGGGTTAATTAGACAATAATCCTGTGTTAATTTACGACCTCGGTATTACCTGATAAGTCACAACTAACTCGTTTATCATGTATTTCTGTTGTTAAATATGTCACTAAGTAGACAGTCTTATTATAAAGAAGCTTAAAATACGAAGAAAAAAAAACATCAGATAGGATTTATCCAAAACTGCCATATACAAATAGAAAAAAAAAAATTGATAAAAAGATAAGCACCAAATAGACAAGAACTAAAGATAACTTGTCCAACAAAAATGATTACCATTGACCACAAATTATCCATTAGAAAGATAACTCCATTTAAAAAGAGGCCAGAACATCCATCTAAAATGTTAAAGGTGTGTTTGGCTATCAGTAATAGGGCTCCAGGTATTGGCAACAGCAGCAATAGTAAGATTATAAAAGTTTTATTTTCTTAATGAGGTAACTTCTTTTATTTTCTTATGGGATTTTAATATTTTTTAATAACTTATTGCATCCATTGATTATTTCCATTGAACTTAATCTTGACTTACAATATAACAGCAGTAATTAATCAATATCAAAAAACATATATATTATTAAAATTCTTTACATACTAATTTATTTTGGTTTCACAATTATATCTACTATTTACTAGTTGACTCAGATATCAGTATCCTTCTTCCTTAACACTTAACTTAAACTTTGGCTCCCATGTATGGACCCTCGGGAATGAGATACCCATTATTTATACCCATTATTTTGTAACTTCTGTTGATATAAGCCCTCTATTGGCACTGTAGCAAACAAAGACTATAAATTAATCAATATTAAAGTTTTAATTTGAATTAGTATATAATCAATTTTTAATTAAAATAATACTATAAATTAATATTATTAAAATTCTTTACATACTAATTAATTTTGGTTTCGCAATTTTACTAAGATAGTAGTATACTAGTTGACTCAGATATCAGTATCCTTCTTCCTTAGAACTTAAACTTTGGCTCCTGTGTATGGAAATGAGAAACTCAACCTCGGGAATGAGATACCAAGTATTTAAGTGCATTTTGTTGATTTACGCCCTTATCGGCAACGTAGCAAACAAAGACAGTTAACGGTCCATGTAACCAGACACGTGGACTAACACAAGCAAATTAATTTAGTCCTTCCTTTTCCTTGATGGTGTCTTCTACAGGCCACCTCGAGTGACCTCCTTTTGAAAGTATTCAAATCTCTACTATCTATTATTGATGATAATGTCCTCAAGTGAACTACTTCTAAAAATATTCAAAGCAAGGGGGTCCTTCATATCCCATCTATTCCTGACAATAATGCCCTTAAGTGACCTTTTTTCTAAAGGAATTCAAACTCCACTTGTACATGAAAGGCATTAATATCTCAACGAGGAGTTTCACCTATGATAAACATATTCAAGATGAACCATCTGAGACGGGTGAGGAAGTCTTCCCCATAGATAAGACACGCTAAATAAGGGCATAAAAGTTATTGGCTTGGGAGCAATACCCAGAATTCTTCATTGCCCACTTGACGAGCCCAATACCACGAGTGAGTCTTAAAGGATCTCAGCAGGTTTTAGATAAGTCGCCAAGGATCAAGGTTTATCAAGGCACTCACTCAAACAAAAGTGTTACACACATCTTGACCAAATTCGAATGACAAACGCTTACGTCTTGGCTCGTGAGCATGTCCTATCCATCCACATTTAATGACTACATAAATGGGCCTATTAAATGGCCATTTTAGTGCATTTATGAGCCACTCTACCCCTGAAGTATGCAGACTATAAATGGCTGCACATATTCTCATACCATCATAAATCATGGGACTACAATCAATTAAGACACAAAAGGACCTCCCATTAAAAGCTCCATAAATAAGCTTCCATAAAACCTTGCCAGGGAGAGACTCGTGAGCTCTTCACGCCACCAACCTTTCTTTTTCTTAAGTTCGCTTTCCTTCACCTATCCAGTGCCAAAAGGAAACCCATTTACCCTGATAATCACGCTGAACGAAGCTGAACGAATTTAATTCATTCCAGAATAAATGGAACTCCCATAGCCCAAAAGTTGAAATCAGACAGACTGAGAATGGTTGCCCACGCTCACCCTCGATTTTCATCAACCAAGTGATCTACACAAGGTATCATCAAAGCAAAAAGTAAGAAGCCCATACACACATGCGCCTACACAATATACACGTACATGCATGCACTCGCACTCGCACTCTCGCTAATGCGCACACACAAATACACACAGAGGGGTGACTTTTATCTACTGAAATATAGCAATAATAGTACAAAAATGATACCTCACAAAGAGAATCAACTCTCCATTCATGGGTTTAAATAAAAATACTATTTGATGGATATAGAGGGCTAGCAGCTTACCAAGAAGAATCTTAACAAGCAGTATTAAAACAAATAAACCAAAAATATCCCAATTCCTACATGTACAAGTTAACATCCCCTAGTGCAAGGTAATCACAATGTTACATAACCCAGAAACTCAAGCTGATTATCAATAAGAAAAACATAAAACAATTAACTTTAGGGAAAAAATTCTAGATCCACTTTACCCTGCAGAGGATGTATCCAGCTCCGTCTTGGACAAAGTAATTGTTATCACCGACACATGACGAGTAGTTTCTAGGCTGCATTAGCAAGAAATATATCAGCCAGCCATCAAAACAATACCACATATACCAAACTAGTCCATGTGAATAAGAGTATGCTTCAGTTCTTACGGAAGAAGGCCTTCTTCTAGTGGTTCCCACATATCAGTCATATCCGTAGAACCAATCAATGTGTTCTGATGGAGAGCAGCAATCCTTCTCTGGTACCAAAAATGTGTGTACATATAATTATGAGCACATAACACAAAACACAGATACATAAGAATTATTCAAAGAAAATTATGGAACTAGTGCAAACCAAAAGGAGGAAAGCAGGGGGGAAATAATCGAAAACAGAGAACAAAAAAGTCCCGCTTAAAAATAACACCACCTTAATCAGTTCAGCAATCATCACAGTTTTGTTGATAGCTCTGCCCATGGCCTTGAGAGCAATTTCATTAGATCCTTTCTCCTACAAAAAGCACATCAAAATACATAGGATGGTAAAATACAGAAGAGGCAGGATGAGCATATCGATGAGAATACTAAAACAGTTTTGCAGAATGAAAAGTTTTATGTTTTCTATAATGCAGAAAAATGAAACGAGCAATTTAAACAAATATGAACATAAAAAATGTCGAACAAGTTTGCAAAAGTTGATGATGGTATAAACAACCAAGTTTGCAAAAGATGATGATGGTATAAACAGAGTTCAGAAAATAAAAGGATATCGAGTGTAAAAGCAAGTGGGGAAACCGCGTAAAACACAGCAGTTATATCATTGTCACGGACAGAATTCTCATATATTTAAGGGAGCCATATAAAACAACAGTTCAGTGGATATACATGCGTGCATTTCACCAAATCCATTGTATCACAATGGTAAGAGTGCCAGTAGGTCATCATAGAAGAGGGGCTGGAAAAAAGGTTCAACTTGTATCAATGTTAATTAAATTTGTGCATGCACTTCAGACATACATAGCAGTTAAAACTTCAAAGATCAAGAGAGATTACTGGTGCCCCCACTCCACTGCAGCCATTTCATTAAGCATTTTAACAAAGAAAATACTGTTGAAACATCTTGGCTTTGAAAAAATAATTTAATGCATGATGAAGTACAATAAAACGAACATTCACATTCACAAATAAATGAACTATTTAAAATATAGTTAATAGTACTCATACATAATTTACTGTCACAAAGATGCATGAGAACGTAGTAACTGTCAAGGATTGTTTGTTCACTGAGCATAAACCATTTCTGCGTATATATTAAGTAATTACATTCAACATATAATTCTGATCCATTAATTGCATGCCGAACAAAACTGTGGGAGATAAACCTTGAGCATATACAAAGACAATGAGCCAAAAGCATCCGAAAATTGATTTGCTCCATCAAGAAAGAAAACCTCAAAAAAGGCTACTTCCTTAATGATTCATTAAATGTGTAAGGAGACACTTAAATCCCTACATACCATTTAATTGAATAAGAATCAGAGAGTCAGATATGCCCTGCAACCTAGATAAATATATAAAATATTCCCCAAAATATTCTTGATACCAGCAAGCAAGGCATGAACAATAGACTTGTGAAAACAAAAAAAAAAACTGATTCACGGGCTAAGAAACAACCAAAAAGCATTTTGTTAGCAGGCATTGATATGAAAAATCATCAAATCCAACAACAGGCAGACAAGCTGTAAACTTCATAACCAGTATACATCAATATCCCAAAAACATTACAATTCATATCAATATATACCTGTATATGCACAATAAATACATATAAGGACGGAAAAAGGAGAGAGAAAGTTCAAAGAGGAGAGAGAAACCTGGAGCAGAGTGGTAGCATAAGTAATGTAGTTCCTCATCCTCCCCTGAGTGGTTATACGAATCTCATTCTCGTTAATCTGCGTTTCCGGCCTCGGCTTCTCTACCCTCTGATACCGATCCATCTACCGATCACACACCAAAACCACCACAAATCAAAAATAAAAACACACTTTTTTTTTCACTAAAAAAAAAAAGCTAACACAAAACAAAAAATAAAGGCTCAGAAATCAGATCTGAAGAAACAAAAACGCAAAAACATGAAATAAATAGAGTCCTAATTAGGGTTAGGGTTTGGTAGTGGCGTTACCGTTTAGATTGCAGCGAGTTCGAAGCGAAAAAGGTATTATCTGAAGACCTGCTCGCTTTGCCCTATGTTTGGCTGTTTACTTTTTGAGTTTTCGCTCTAAGAGGCTCGCGTGTCCTTGTTTTCAGATCCGTTTTATAGAAGTCTAGTGAGAGAAAGTTTAGAGAGAGAAAGAGGGAGTTTAGATGTAGGGCTGACGATGGCGGTCGTACCGCCAACAAGACCGCCTGATTTATCTATTTTACTTGGGTGATGTGATGATGTGTTGCCACACTATATGGATCGGATCGGACACTCTCCTGACTCCATTTTAAAACAACGTCGTTTAGAGCTCTTTTAAATCTGTGTGCCCTAAAATGTCAAAAAATAAATAAATAAATAAAAACTGTGTTCACTATTAATACTTAATTATGATGGATGGTTATTTTATTTTATTTTTTATTCAATGGATGGTTAATAAAATATTAATAGTCCTATCAAAAAAATTTACTTAAAATAATCATATTTGATTCAATTTTTTTTAGCCTACAAATTCTTGATCAGCTAAAGCATCTCTTTCTTTTCAATAAAAATCCTCTCATTAACTTTTTTTTGCATTGTTCAACTTCAATGTATTTATTTTTAAATGTCACCGCTTATAATGATACTGTGTAATTGACATAAGGGGTGTTGTAATTTAAAATTAAAATTGATTTGTTTTTAATTTAATGGTGTTACATATTCGATAGAATAAAATTGTCAATGCAACCAAAATAGGCAATTGTGTATTCTATACAATATTGCATCTTTTATTACAAACTCGATATAAGTTTCTTTCCAGTTCAATGTAATTTGTTCCGTTCTCGATTTAAAATTTTTTTAATTAAATAATTTTTTAATAAAATGTAAAAAAATTATTTTTTAATTATTTTTTTTAATTTAATTCTTACTTAATTGATAGTGCAAAATTTAATTTAATAAAATCATCCTCGTTGCATCGTCAATGTAGTTTTGTTGCACAGTCGAAATTGGCTGTCGTCGTTGCATGCTTGAAGGAGGCTTTGCTGTGTTTGATCTGATCCTTCTGGATGTCATTATATTGCATACACAACATAAATATATTGCACACTTGGTGTATTTAGTGTTGCATTACCGATTTGGTATTATAACTATTGTTTTCATCTTAATACAATCTTATGGGGCTTGTTTGGCTTTTCTTTTACAATGAAAAAGAAAACTAAAATAAAAAATTTATGTTGTTAGCAAAAATATATATATGATTTCTAATGATATCCTTTAATAGGATATTACTATATTTAATAATTAATAATTTTTTTAATCCAATGCGGGGTCTGAGGCAAGGCGACCCACTATCTCCCTACCTTTTTATTTTATGCACTGAACCATTGTCTATGGCTATGGAAATTCGAGCGGCCTTTCAAAACCAAATAATTTTTGGTGTCAAGATTTGTTGTCAATCTCCGATAATATCTGATTTACTTTGTGCTGATGATTCCATCATCTTTTGTCAAGATACTTGGACAGAAGTACAAATCATTAAAAATGTTCTTCAAATGTATGAGTTTGGTTCTCGATAGCATGTTAATTTTTCTAAATATCTTTTTTTTGAAAAAATTTCTATGCTGATAACAAGGGTACTTGTGTCAAATCTTGAGAATCTGAGAGGAAGGTTTGAAAGAGAGGTATGTGGGCATGCCAGCAGTAATAGGGCGCTCGAAATGGGATGTTTTTAATTTGTCTTACAAATACTTTCTATAGATTAGCTTAATGGAAGTCTCTACTTTTATCCCCAATGGGTAAGGCTTATTAAAGCAATGTTTAGCATTCTTCCTTCCTATATTATGTCTTGTTTCAAGCTCCCTGGTAAATTATGTGCTAATATTACCTCTGTTATCAGAAGGTTTTGGTAGGGTCACGATGTAAATCATAGGAAAATCAATTGGATTAAGTGGGAGGAGTTACGTGCGAGTAAATCGAAAGGAGGTTTGGGGTTTCGTGATTTTGAGTCTTTCAATATGGCCTTGCTTGGCAAGCATGGCTGGAATTTTCAAGCGACCAAACAGGATCTAGCATATCAATTTTTCAAGGCCAAATATTTTCAAAATTGTCAATTCCTTCAAGCGAATTTGGGTTCAAATCCGTTGTGGCCTTGGAGGAGCATTTGGGGCACTCAAGTGATTGTTGCTTCTGGAGGTAAATGGCTTGTAGGTAATGGTCATTCAATAGATATATGTTTTGATAAATGGATTCCAAATATTTCTTATCCAATTCCTAAACCTCTTCTCAGGAAGTCCCACTTTGTGTTGTAGAGCTTGTAGATCAGACCACAAAAACCTGGAATCAAGGGGTGATTAATAAATGGTTCTCGCCGGAAGTTGTTAATTTCATCATGCAATGTCCTAAGCCTTTTCAACATGGATGATTAATTGATTTAGGATAAGGAGCCTTCTGGAAAAAAATTCAGTTAAATCAGCTTACTATCTTGCGTACCTCATACCACAAAATATTGGAATCAAGAGGAGATTAATAAATGGGTTTCGCTAGAAGTTGTTAATTTCATCATGCAATGTCTAATGAGCCTTTCTAACATGGACAATTAATTGATTTGGGATGAGGAGCCTTTTGGAAAAAATTCGGTTAAATCGATCAATTTATCATCTTACGTTACCTCAACATTCTAATAGGCTTGGTATGTGTTCGGTGGTGTGATACCCCTCGGATCCGAGACACGGGTTGATCAGGCTCAGGATCAAACCCGAGGGAATATCTAACAATTAATATTTTATATTGAACACGGAATACAAAATGAATTAAGAAATGAAATTAAAACTGAAAGGAACTAAAAAATATAATCCGCAAAATATTATAATTATTAAAATCCATCAAACCCAAACTCCAAAACCCCATCAGTTTACAACTCGGAAATCCATCTCTGGTGGACCCATATTAAACATCCAAACGGAAAAAAACAACTGTAATAAATATCCAGAAATAAACTATGAAGAGAATCCTACATCGTTGGAATAGTGAATAGAGACCTCTGCTCAGCACGAACACGTCTAAGCCTGGAACTGTCATGTACCTGAAAAATAGAAGTGGGTCAGGCCTACGCGCAAGTTCTATACTACTGCAATCCAAACAGAGGCCCGATACGTATGTACATCCTAAACAATTCAACAATAGCTAATAGTCCGTAAATATATATATATAGTCACACTAAAGGACTCTCACTGGACTACAGGCCGGTCTCAACCTGAATAGAGGTAACATGCTAAAACGCACACAAAGTGGGCATATGTACTTATACCTAAACAGGGTACACCTCTAACCATCGTATCCAGCTATGCATCTCAATGCATATACGCTCCCTAACCGTCGATCCTGAGACTCAAGCTCATGTCGAGGTACCATAACAATATATTTAAAGTCCATCCCGAATCCTAGTAGTGCCGCTCAACTAGTCGTTGCCATGACACTACAATTAATAGGACTTAACTTTTAGTTAATCCAATTCTTAATCCAGAGTAGGTAGGTTTTGATATTTTGAAACCAAACCATCCCTAGTATACCACCGGTGTATACTATCCAATCATTCAGCAGTTGATAATATCAACAATTAAAGTAAATAACAGCTACATCCATATTTCCATTACTGAAACTAACAGGCATAGTGTAAGCATCAATAAAAAGAATCAGATATATACATAAACAGATTCAGTTTTATATCCAACACTGATACTAACAGACATAATGTAAACATCAAGAATCATAGTCACTATACATACACAAACTTACTCAGTTTAGGTTGTTTCATTCAATCAGATATAATGATAAGATTATTTTAAATTATCATTCAATATTTAGCAGTTGATATTACAGACATTTAAGATAACCATTAACAAAGTCCATTCCTCCAACAGTTGATACTAATAGTATTAATGCAAGCATCGAGACAGAACCACAGTAGGTACATATACCTACTTAGTTTAGGTTGTTTTACAAAATCCCATTAGTATGAATTTAAGAATTATTGTTCTCCAACACTACCATATTCTAAACAAGTGTAATTCAGATACATACTTATAATATAGAATTATACATGTTCCAATTATATCATTTGTCTCAAAAGATTTCAGAATTAAACACAGTGTACTCACAGAATTTAACACTATGGAACTACCTGTTTAAAACCTTACTGTCCAAACTTTTCTACGCAAGCAGACTTAGTTAACACCACCTCTGAAGCTTTAATTTATCTCTATACATTACTTAGACCTTCCATATTCAATTCTGCACTCAATTGAAAACTCCAAAATCAACCATTGCATGCAAAACTGACTGGAAACGAAGAAAATTACAAAAACTGAGCAAGGAGACGTCTCCAAAAATTGGAGCCGCCTCCTTTAAACCTTGGAGCCAGCTCCAAAAACTCTTGGAGCCGCCTCCACTTCAAGAGGAGCCGCCTCCACTCCTAAAGGAGCCGGCTCCCTCCCTCTCTATCTCGTCTCTTCGCCTTCTGTCTCCGTTTTACACCTCTGCTACCTCACGCCCTGATTTCCGGAAACTGTAACCCACTCCCAGTACATCCCAGTTCATGCTTAAGTCCAGTTAACGTTACACACATGGCTTCAAACAGAGATTCATGCAAGCAAACAACACGTTCTTAACAGTTTTACAAAGCGTAAATACATACAGACTAGTTTCAGTTTAAACACAAACAAATAATGTTTTAATTGATCCGATTAATCCTAAAATTGTTTAAGAATGCAAAGAACATGAAACCTAAGGGAGAGAGTAAAGATAAAACTTGCCTTTGAGATCTTTGTTCAAAATCTCTACGCCGTCTACTAAGACCTCCGGCGAACACAATTGTTGTAAACCTCCTATGTCTCTCTCTCAGTTACTTCCACAGACGTGTGTTGGTTTTCTTTTCTTTGTGTTTTTTATTTGTATGTAAAACCCTAGGTAGCCTTATTACGTTTATTTATAAGGTTACACAAAATCTAAAGCTCATTGAAGCCCTAATGTGAAACCTAATCGGCCCATAACAGCATCTAAGTGAAAAAGCATGTCTGTTACTTACCACCAATCCTATAGTAACGTGAATTTAGAAAAATAAGTAACTTTAATTTATTTTAATTACCAATTAACCAAAAACTAAATA